CAGAGGCAGAGGCAAAGGCAGAGGCAGAGGCAGAGGCAAAGGCAGAGGCAGAAGCAGAGGCAGAGGCAGAGGTTTGGGCGAATGCAGAAAAGGGGGCAGAGACAGCGACAAATAGAAAGACAGATTTATATAAATGGTACCGTGATATTAAATGCATCAGATAGATTGGAGGTGGCGAAGGATAGCCAGCCAAAGGCAGAGAGTGAACCAGACGTAGAAGGTGAGGCAGGAGCAAAGACAAGCAAGGATGACGTAGAATCTGATGCCTGGACAGCAGAGGGCAAGGCAGAGGGTGAGGCAGAGCCAGAAAGTAAAGCAGAGACAGAGGGTGAGGCGAAGCCAGAAAGTGAAGCAGAGGCAGAGAGTGAGGCGGAGGCAGAGACGATCGACTATGACCTCTACCTGCATTACTACCCGACCGCCAGTCGACACGATGGCAACAATGAACTGGGAAATGTTGTTCGGCCGGGCGATGTAATGACAACTACAGTGCCGTTGAGGTTTACTGAAGTACCTGATGGGCGGGAAAGACTCGTCCTATGCGGAACACACGAAAAGCGGAGGCGAAAACAGAGCCGGACGCAGAGGCAGATTTATGGTGGGCAGAGTCAAGAGCAGAAGCGAAAGCAGAAGCAGAAGCAGAGACGGAGGCAGAGGCAGAGGCAGAGGCAGAGGCAGAGGCAGAGGCGTGCAGAAGAGCGAGACGGAGGCAGAGGCAGAGACAGAGGCAGAGGCAGAGGCAGAAGCAGAGACGGAGGCAGAGACAGAGACAGAGCCAGAGACAGAGGCAGAGGGCATGGAGGCAGAGGCAGAGGCAGAGGCAGATGCAAAGGCAAGAAGGCAGAGGCAGAGGTCAAGTCAACAGGTGCGCAAAAATCGGAAAGTAAAGCAGAAGCAGAGGCAGAAGGCAAAGGCAGAGGGCGAGGCAGACACTAGGATGAGGTTGAGAGTGAAATAGCTGATAAACATTTGGAAAAGACTTTGGCAGAGTCAGAGTCAGAGGCAGAGGGGGAAGCAGAGGCAGAAAGTGAGCCAGAGACAGGGGAAAAGGCAGAGGGGAAGGCAGAGACAGAAAACGAGCGCGGAGGCAGAGGCAGATGGTGAGGCGGGAGGCAGAAACCAGAAGTAGCAACAGAGGCCGAAGGCCAAGGCAGTGACAAGAGGTAAGGTAGATGCGGAATACCAAAGCGGGGGAGCTACGCTAGCTCAATGGGAAAGGCGAGCGAGTTGTCGCTGCCGCAAGGAACTCTGGAGGCAAACAGCTCAACACGTAACACGTCACGGGAGAGAAAACAAAAGCAGACAACGGGAGATGCAAGCGACAGACTGACAATGGGGAAGGAGGTGCCGTTAAGTGGCGAACCGGCTGCAGAAGGTAAAGCAAATACCAGATATAACTCGATGATGGTTTATCAGATTAGTTGCGTCTGGTGTACAGCCGTAGCAGGCGTCGCGAATAGTAGAGGCCGTACAAGGTAGTATATGCGCGGGCAGCTCGGGAAAGTAGTATATGCGCGCAGGGCAGCTCGGGAAGGTAGTATATGAGCCGGGCGGGGCAGCTCGGGAAAGTAGTAATATGCGCGCGGGGGCAGCTCGGGAAGGTAGTATATGAGCGCGGGGCGAGGCTGCGGGAAAGGTAAGTATATGTGCGCGCGGGCAGCTCGGGAAAGTAAGTATATGCAGGCGCGGGGGCAGCTGCGGAAGTTAGATATGCGCGCCGGGCAGCTCGGGAAGTAGTATATGCGCGCGTCAGTGCAAGTCATCGGCGCGGGCAGCTGGGGAAGGTAGTATCATCGCCGCAGGCACTCGGAAGGTATATATGTGCGCCAAACTGCATGCAGTGGGCCCCTTCGTAACACTAAGGATACGAGGTGAAATTAACGGAGAGCGACGAACGCCATCTGTCCGTGGAGTTTGTATGCGCTCGGCGGCAGCTCGGGAAGGTATAGTATTCTTATGTCTGCCACCAAACACATGTACAACTCAATCAAGAAATGTTCTACATGTTTTGTTGGCGCGCGACTTTCGCGCCAGCTTGGACTTGCATTTGCTGATCATTCCCGGAGCTCCACGGCCACTTGAAAAATGTACCAGGCCTTTGTGGCAGTGGTACCTGAGTTGTACGACAGGGGCGCTGCATGCAGTTTTGCTCTTGGAGGCGAATAGGTGCTGTGCGGCGGCAGCTCGGGAGATGATTAGGTGTGCGCGCGCACTCGCCACCTGCATGCAGGCGGAGTAAGCGCAAGAAACTGAAGGCAGTTGTGTGATTGATCGTACAGAAGTGAAACACACGAATGCAGGCAGCCTCGCCGCCAGGGCAATGATATGGTCGCCGCAAACCCGTCCCTCACGTCTGCCGGTCACGTATCGCAGGCAGCACCTACAGCACATAGAGGGCAGATCCAGGCGGTGGCCGATAGCATGCCACTGCAGCGCTACACGGTAAGAGACTCAGCTGTGACTCGTTATCGGGGTCTTATTACGCATATACTGTATATTTATCATGTATATTTATATGTATATATATGTATATGTATATATATAGTATTATATATATAAGTACTATATATAATATATATATATATATATATACTATTTATATGTAACGGGTAAAATGGGTCAATACGTGGTGCCGGCCGTCACACATATTACTCAGATAGCGTTTGTGTACGTAATGTGTGAATGTTAAGCATTAAACGCGAGAATGGGCAGTTGATGCATAATTGCCATGATTTGTGAATGCTATTCTCATCCCATGTGCCACAGCATAGATCATACGCACATCAGACGTAGACATCAGTGCACAGCGCTATGCCCACCGACTACACTGATCCATAACAGCGCAGTCCCGATTGATGCGTCGACTATATAATAAGCTGCCCGATTCACTCCACTTCTGACGGCAAATACAAATGACCGAAATTTGTCCGAGCTGGTATAACTAAAGAGCAGCAAACCGATGGCATGTGTTATATGTTGGACGGTTGTAGAAACCGTGCGATATGTTCAATGTTGTGTGATCACCACGCTGAGGCTCAGGACACCTAACCTTGACACGTAGCCAAGGGTTACCGCGTAGACTAGACACGTAGATATCACCGCCTAGGTGTCGAGTCATCTTCAGCACTGCAAACTGCTTCAGTTTGCCTTACAGCGTGCACGAAGTTAGAATTAGGTTCGGGAATCACTCTACGGAATGACATACTTTCTACACGTGACACGACACATACAGCACCCGTATCGTCTCGCAAAAGTAGCGTAAAGCGCATGTTTGCGAAGTCACGTGGAAGCGAGTGTTTAAACTAGCAGCGCAAACTCGCCAACTATCCGTTTACGCCGTGATGTCTTCGTATTATGTATGATGATGCGTGATAACGCCACTGTTTTTTATATATATATGCTTTTGTAAGACCTCGTTGTGGCGTCCCTATCGATAGTTGGTATAGGACTGGAAGGCAGAGGCGATATCGCGATGATCCTACGATAAGCAACGTGTTGGAGTAGATTTTTCTAAGAAGAGTTTAGAGTGCGACGATAGGACAGGGACATGGTCTCATGGTCTCATGGTCTCATCATTGTTTTGCCGCCAAATCGTAATCTCATAAATCGAGGAGTATGTTTCGTCATGTAATTATTTGTGTTTGTTATGCGAATTGGTTCGTAGCCATTTGTTTGTTTATTTTATGATGTTCATTTGTTGTTGTTTATGCATTTGTTATTTGTCACATTGCAGAGGAGCGTATAGGGAAGCACGCACCAGACCATCCGCCGATTTCCATGAAACCCATCCGCCTGTCCGAATACATAGACGAGATCCAGGACAGCCACGGGCGCCGCCTGGCGGCCGCGTCGGTACTCATCGCCCTAGCTGCGGCTTTCGCGTTTTCGCTCGCGTTCTAGCGTTCCCCTCGCATACGATAGTCTCGAAGATTTCAAAGAAAAAAAATGTCTTTTAGTCCGTAGAAACGTTTTTGCGCCGTGCGGACGCTTGCATAAGCATTGTCGTTCGCGTGAGTGTGTTCTTACAAGCTAGTTGTAAAGCACACATTCCCACCCGCCACGCCGCACAGGCCACTTCTTATTATTGTGTGGTAATAATTGTCTCTCGTTTACAATAAGTCGCATCATTATCGGTGGTGATTATTGGTGAACAGTTTTTAGAAGTCGAGGTGCCGACGATTGACGAGTATCAACGAGGTGAATAGTGCGCCCATGCAATAGAGGGGGAGGGGTGATATTGAAGGGGGAAGTAAGGAAATATAGGATGTTGAAGGTGGTTTATAAGTTGTGCGCGCATAGGTGTCTGGAATATTAAATATGAAACCACTTTGCGCTGCACGCAAGAGGGTTAGCAGTAGTAGCAGCAGCAGTGGTACCAGCTGCAGTAGCATCAGAAGCAGTGGTAGCAGCAGCAGCAGCAGCAGCAGCAGCAGCAGCTGTAGTGGTAGCAGCAGCATCAGTGGTACCAGCAGCAGCAGTGGTAGCAGCAGCAGCAGCAGCAGCAGCAGCAGCAGCAGCAGCAGCAGCAGCAGAAGCAGCAGCAGCTGCAGTGGTAGCAACAGCAGCCGCAGTAGCAGCAGCAGCAGTGGTAGTAACAGCAGCAGCAGCAGCAGCAGCAACAGCAACAGCAACAGCAACAGCAACAGCAACAGCAACAGCAACAGCAGCAGCAGCAGCAGTAGCAGACGATGACATTGGCCTCAGCTCTCACTCCGTAATGTTAGCATCCAAGTCGTTGCTGGATACAGTGAGCGCTAAACCGGCACTATTCAATTGGCGCTTATTTAGTCTCGCTGGTTGCCTGATCCCCGCAGATAAATAGGAAACCCGAAAAAATTGATATTGTGATGTGCGTGGTAGCACGGTAGGGTCGTAGACTTGGCAGCCGATATATATATATATATATATATATATATATATATATATATATATATATAATATATAGGTGTTTTCGACCTCGCTCCGGTGAGTGCCATTAACGCGAGATTGTGCCGATAGTCAGATCTCAAAACTACGACGTCGTTATTTTTAAAGCAGGAACAGTGGTAAGACGTACACGCGTGTACGTGCGCATAAAGGCCTAATTGTGTAGTAGAGTCGTTGTTCGTGTTCGATAATACTTTTATGTTGTTTCGTTACACGATCGTTATATATCGTTGTGTGAATAATCTCGTAGTTACTTTTTGCTATCTGGTGCATGTAAGCAAGCATAGGATATACGTACTAAGTGTTGTTATAAACAAGTATATATATATATATATATATATTAAACGTTGTAAATACGATTGCGATGATCCGTCCAGCGTGAGTAAGCAGGTCACAAGCACACACACACACACACACACACACACACACACACACACACACACACACACACACACACACACACACACACACACACACACACACACACACACACACACCACACACACACACACACACACACACACACACACACACACACACGCACATATCTAATCTATATTTCAGTTCGTATGTATGTTTGTCACCTATGCCCGGCCAAACCGCCCAAGCGATCTGGATGCAATTTTTAGAGGGCGATGAGCACGTCTGGGATGTGGTTCTGGCAGAAACAAAAATTTGTAAGGGGGAATATGATATTGGGAGTATGGGGGGAACTGCCATCGGTGTCCAAACGAGTTCTGATGTAGCCTACACGCGCGAGACCGAGGCGGTGATGTACGCGCGCGAGACCGAGGCGGTGATGTCCGCGCGCGGCCTTGATGCTCAGCTGTTGTCCGCACGCCTTAAATGACCACGCGTAGATACGCGTACAACATAGCATTCTACGTGATACAAATATCGCCATAAAGTTCGCGGTAAAACGACGAGAACTTTCATAACTAAGCCGATTCGGCGAGGCACACTTGCATATCGAAAATCGAGATATGAAAACCGCGGTTCTCCTGTCGCGGGCGTCTGTGCGCAGTTGGCTACTCTATGAAATACAATAATACGTGTTTGTAGTTTCCATCTTTGTGTGCTACGTCTACACCCTCAGCCGTGTTTGATTGTAGTCGGGGGCGTCAATGTACACAGAGGCACCACAACCAAGACCTCGACGTAATCGGGTGAAAATGAGGCTCTGATATCCACGCGTGAAAACGAGGCATCGGCATCCGTGGTAGCAGGACACGCATTGGATGGGCGCGCATGTGACAGAGTTCATGCAGCGTACGCGTACGTACGCACACGTACTCTTCGCGGGGAAACAAATCGGGAAGAATTGTCATTGTGAAATTTGTTACAATGTGGTTAGGTGTTGCTACTGGTTAATTCAACGCGCTCTTTCAGGCGCGTCATCATATTTGGTGATGTAAAATAAAATTCACATATTTCGGTCGATACTCTCATTCTCATTTTTTGTCACAATTTCCGCATACACGCGCACACACGCATGCACGCACGCACACAAACACAGACACGCACGCACCTAGTTCTATTCTTCGATGGCGGCAAGGTCAAAGAGGATATAGATATGGGAACGCGGTGAACGGCATTAAATTGTTTATGATTGTAAAGCGAACAGCACTCGATTATTACATAAATTATTAATTTTAATTACATTTTCCATACGATCACAATTTTACGGCGGGTGGCCTTAGCCTAGTGACAGCTTTGTAGCCTGGAGTTGCGCATATATATAATATATCGCCTGTTCTACGTTATATTCGAAAATACATCACTACATGCAGCTACAACGACTGACATTGTCAAAGTTTTAACATTATTACCTCCGCCAAGGGGTTGGCAGGAGGTTATGTTTTCACCGGCGTGTGTTTGTTCCTTTGTTGGTTTGTTTGTGTACAGCCTAACTGAAAAGGTTATGGACGGATTGTCATAAAATTTTCAGGATAGGTCAGAAATGGGGTAACTTAGAATTGATGAGATTTTGGCGGTGATCCGGATCCAATTAATTAATTAATTAATAACATTTTCAGGATAGGTTACAAATGGGGTAACCTAGGATTGATTACATTTTGGTGGTGATCCGGATCCAATTAATTAATTACTTCATTAATTAAATTTTCAGGATACGTCAGAAATCGGGTAACTTTGAATTGATTACATTTTGGTCGCCATCCGGATCCAATTAATTATTTAATTAATTAATTAATAAAAATTTTCAGTGACAGAATTCAGCTGCCTTGGCGGAGGTCTGTGCGCTCCGAGTGCTCTAGTTTGACCATGTAATTGCAAATTTCTGAAGTGTCGCGTTTCCACACAGAATGAGAAACAATTAGAATTAAAAAAAAATATTTCCAAGTAATTATAATCTTTGGTAATCTATTAACTCGGTAAACTATTCAGTCGCTACCGTTGTCGTGTGAAACAGCACGTAGGAAACAATCGAACATAATTTCCACGAATGTCGCCGCACATTTACGCGTTGGTCGTTGTCGCAGCAGTGCGTCTTGTGTTGTGTTCAGTAACAGGGCGCGTGCGATTTTATATACTATTCACATCACATCACTTACTCATCGGACAAAGACGAACTTCCAAAGACGACACCTATTGTCTCTTCGTATTGCGCGCGCGCTCTCCGCGTCACGTTCAACTTCAACGTGACGTTCAAGTTCAACGTTCAAGTTCAACGTGAGGGTGTACGGTCAAGGTACGTTCAACGAGGGTGAACGTGCAACAAGGTACGTTCAACGAGGGTGAACGTGCAACAAGGTACGTTCAACGAGGGTGAACGTGCAACAAGGTACGTTCAACGAGGGTGAACGTGCAACAAAGTACGTTCAACGAGAGTCAACGTTCAAGGCAACGTTCAAGTTCTACGTGAGCTTCGAAACGTAGCAGCAGAAAACCAAAGGGGGGGGGGAATCATTAAAAGCCGTCGATTCGCTGCTGTCGTCCGCGGCGCAGTGGCGTCGCGACGCGGAAGGTAACTCAAGCGCACATCATGTGTGTAACAAACACACGCAGCGCGGCAGAGCTGCCCGGGCAGGCGTAACGAGGTCCATATGAATGAGTTCACAGCACTGGAAAAAATATCACATTCAGTAAGGTCAAACAGCCGCGCACCTGCGCTCGTTTGCTGTTGCTGCTGCTGCTCCTCCTCCTCACCATCATCCTCCTCCTCCTCCTCCTCATCATCATCATCATTCTTCTCCTCCTCCCCCTCATCATCATTCTCCTTCTCCTCCTCCTCCCCCTCATCATCATCCTCCTCCTCCTCACCATCATCATCATCCTCCTCCTCATCATCATCCTCCTCCTCCTCCTCACCATCATCATCATCATCATCCTCCTCCTCCTCCTCCTCATCATCATCATCATCCTCCTCCTCCTCCTCCTCATCATCATCCTCCTCCTCCTCCTCCTCCTTTTGCTTCTCACTGCGGGCACACACGGAGCACGGATATCAGTGAGCTGATCAATGAAGGCGCGCGCATTGCTCAATGACGACGTCTTTGTTTGCATCGACGCGGCGGCTACGGACACAGCCGCTGCTCGTGCGACGCGCGCTCACATCGGCAGACGCTCTACGA